AATGGAGCGGGAGGGTGGGAATATAGCCTGAGAGGAGAGGGAAGAGACGCGTTACGTGTGCTATTGCATCCCCGCAGTGGAGTGGGTGGGTGGGTTGATTGGACGGCCGGGAAAATTAGATGCCTCTGGGGGTTTCTCTCTCACTCTCTCACTTGGTGACCCTGAAGTACAATATTATCATTTTTTTAAATCTGGTTGTGTTACTGATGTGGATTGCTTGACCCCGTTTTCACGCATTGCACTGCATTACTTGAGAATTTATTCAAGTATTTTTGAATTTATTTTTCTCCATCAGAGATTGACTATGTTCTGAATATGTGGACAATAATGCTCTCCGAAAATATTTAGATATTGAGAAAATTTAATAAAAGAATATTTCTAATGTATTTGTATTGGAAGATAAAAATTTAGAAAACGTGTTACAGGTGGACTCTCTCTATCTTGCTTACAATGATTTTCTCTTTATACAGAGTGACAGTATTTTTCTGGTCCTCTGAATTTTATTGCAGAAAGAGTCCACCTTTTTTAAGGTTAGTTTCTGCAGTGATATCTGTTTTACATTTGGGATGAATGGGAGAAAGTTTAAAACAGGATTTGCTTGGAGAATTTTGTCTCAATATGTCATACAAATAGACCAAAAACCAATCCATTTACAGTTAAATATCAAGTTGGAAAATGAACATTATTTTCATTGCATAGGAAAGGTTTAGCTGAAATGCAACAAAATTTCAGCATGTTAAAATGGTTTTAAATATCCCCTCAATTAATTAAGCTGAGAGGTCTGGAGAAACATTAGGGTTCATCCCTGTTGGCCTCCTGTTAAAAAAAAAAACCTGACAGTCCAATTGAGTTTTAGTAATCTGTGATTGAACCAAAAAATTCTTGTACTGTTTATAGGAAAACCTTGACATAATCTTGAAATGGAAAAGAAAATGGTTTCTGTTTATAGGTCAAGTTTCAGCTGATCATTGGTTACCTTGTCTTGCTCACATAATTCTTTGGTTTTTTAAAATCAATATTGACCACTACTAATCAAAACAAATTTGCTGTGGCCCACTTACATTCATTGAATTCTAGGGTTTACATCATCAATGATTTAGTAGCCAAATTGTTTAGAACTTAGTAAGGTTATTGTACAAATATATAAATGTCATGGAAGAAGATTTCTTTATGTGGAGTGTTTGTCACTAAATAAATGATTAATAGGATGAGGTTCAAAACGAATTTCAACCATTTTTGTTGTGGAACTATGGTGTGTGCCTTACACATGAGTGGATGTTTACCAAAAAAGGGTACAAATTATTTCATTCCATGACTTTCTCAAAGAAATGAGATTATGTACAAATCTGTACATTAAACTCCAAAAATTACTGTGTTTACTCAAGTACCTCATGCCTTTGAGCTTGGCATTCACCCAGGTTTTTAAGTTGGAAATTTTGATAAAATTCTATCCCTGAGTAAGATGAGCACCCCATTTCAGTGACTCTAAAACCACAGTAAGTTGAAACCTGGGCAACGGACTTGATTTGTGCACCAGACTAGTCTGTTGTGTGAAAAGTGTGTTATGCAAATTCCATAATTTGGTAAAAATTAAAATTAATTATTCATTTTAAACTAACAAAAGTCTGTTATGTGGGTTTAGTCCATTGTGCAGGAGGGAAAACTGCCTCCAGAGGTGGTCATGCCTGCAAAAATCTGTTGTGTGGAAGGTCTGTTATGCAGGGGGCAACTATATTTCAAAAATAATAACACCCAAATTTGAATTCAGACCTGAATGGAACATGAATTTGTACTTCAGTGAATATAGTACTAGTCTTTAGAATCACCCAACTTGCTTCTGTGAAAATTAGATAGCCTTCATTTTGCAAAGTTATTCTGCGCATCATCATCAATTTCAAATGTTTATTTTCAAGACCTGCGGTGTATTTTCTAGAACGTCATTTGCAATAAAATATTGGTAGCAGTTTTGGTGGTAAATCGTGGGGTTGTTGTTCATATAATTTCCCTCAGCCCACACGTGATGCATTGTAAGGACAGGCTTGTTCAGCTGAGAGACATTTTGATCAGATGAATGGGGTTCCAGGTGCGCAGAAAATCATGATGTGATGAAAGGAGATGGTGGTCATAATTCAGAATTTTTTGCGGGAGTACTTGAGTAATTGATGGAAAAATCCAGATTCCTATCAATTATAAGTTGACTTGCACTCTTCACTTCCTATGAACATGATGGATTTTGCGAGCACCTGACTCAACAACTGGATATTTGAGAGAAGGGAGAATATTTCTTCAACTTTTGAGGTTCATGAATTTTTGAAAATATCAACTCTGAGTTTATTTTTTCTGTATTGAAACTGAGGGAGCTTGGGGATGTTCACATAAACATATTTTTAAACATATGGGGTTTGGATGCGGGAGTCTTGGTTGTGCCTTTGTGAATGCTGAAAAGCGGCAAATAAAGTGTTCTGTTCATTCATTCATTCATTCATATTTTTAAATGTATGCACCAATTAAATGAAATATTCTTCATAAATTTTCCTAACGTGTCCTTATTGCTTCAAAAGCTTTTTTGGTAGGGGCAGATGTCGCTGGCTGTCAAATGCTCCAACTCATCATCTGCTTTCGAATTTTTTATGCTGTGTTTCCACAAAAAGGTTTTAAAAAAGTTGTTGTAAAATTATTCATGCATGTCAGGGATGGTGGCATGACAAAGAAATGCTGTATCTTGAAATGCCCATTGACTTATTATACAAACATTTGCATATTTTTAAAACTTTTAAATGCTTCTTTGCTAAAATTTTGAAGGAAAAAAAATCGGATGCACGTCTTACTGAAGGACATGCGGTATTTTAGTGAATATAGTAGAAGATTTCCTGGTACCTTATGCAAATTTTTTAGTGAACAGTTTTTTTTTTTTAGAAAGAAAGAATTGCGAAAAATAAGGTGAGTGAAAATTGAAATTTCCACGAGTTTTGGCGCGTTTCTACTGCTTCTTCAGTAGGTGGGGTTGTGGTTTTTTTTTCAGCGTTGATTGAAATAATAAACACGAGCAGTTTGATTTTTCTGTGAAAAATTCCTCACGATTTTTTTTTCGTCTTTCGCATAATTTTCGTTTCTGAGACCGGGAAGGAGGCGCACTGGCGACAAATAAGTTAGCGCTTTGAATCCGGAAACGCCACCCGCACACTTGAGGAGATTTTTTAAAAATTCACTACCGCGCACAAGCATTTTTTTTCGCCGAAACTTCGATTGATTGATTTCTTCGGTTTCAATGCTTGAAATTGTTCCAGCCCCGCCGCCATGAAATCGGAAAAGCGGAGCTCGTACAGGGATGAATTCATCTTTTGTAACTCCGTCACACACTGAACCCCGAAATTAACTTCTATCGACCTTTTCATTTTTTCTTCTTCTTCTTCTTTTGGGTCACTAGGGATATAATCGAACTTGTTGCCAATTGAAGCCGTTTTTTTTGTTTTTTTCTCTGATCGATAGGTGAATGAATAAAGCTATGATAAGCTTTGGAACTGATTGCGCATGAGTGAGCTAGATAGTTTTGGCATGGAAAAATATTCACCTCGTCACTCGGCATCAGTAGGCAGCAAGTTTTGAATAGATACAAATTCAACGAGGAAAACAAATTAATGCTGCACCATTCCCTCCTTTCTGTTCCACGAATCTTTCGATTGAGCGCCACAAATAAATACAGGGTGTTCCAATTTAAAAAAAAATTGACGATGAGTTTTAGTTCCAGTTTCAATGCGGGAAGAAAATTTATATTTACTGTATTGCGAATTTTTGATAGAGTATAAATCATATAAAGCTTCAAGTGGGTTCCTGGTGTCCAAAAAATTAGTACAACGGAAATTTTGTATTTCAAAAGCTATTGGGGGAAAAAGTGACTGATTTTTTCTCAGTGGTTTCGCACAGAATGTTTTGGCAAAAATGCTGACATTTTAACTATTTTTTAAATGAAATTTGAAATTTTCCAAAGAAACCAGGAAAATGAGAAGATAATAGTTTTGTTTTATTGCTCCATTTTTTTGAAATTTTAGAATTTTAGTAAATTAAGAACACAAATTTTTCAGGTTTACTGAAATTTCACAGCAATTGATTTTAAATTTTGGATTGTACTCTGAAAGCTTGCAACATTACACTTTTGAAGTTTATCATGGCCTTTTATCAACTGCGTGGCACGAATTACAATTTAAAAAATATATAATGTAAGGTTAGCTCATTATACAGCTGTTTTATCATCAGCAGTTGCAAAATATGCTTCCAGATTTTTCTATCCCGCCATTGATCGAGAATTTAAAGCAGAAAATCAAGTGTTCAAACTAAAGTTGCAAACCCTCTCCTCAAACTTTCTATTTTTTAATTTAATATATATTGAACAAATTTACTTGCTTCTACTTTTTTAAACTCCTACCAATTGAAATTAAAATTCAATCGAGAACAAACTTGCTGCAATTCAAGCTTTTGTTTGAATTTCCAAAAAAAAAATAACCTTGTGGAGACAGTTTTGGCAGGTGTTCTTGAAGAGGAATATGATGCAGCATTTTCTGAAGCAGACGCAAGATGACCGGGTACCGATTAACTTGCTGAATAACAGCTATTTAGGATAGGGGAGGAAAAAAATCGAAAAGGTAAACATTTTCTTTTCTTTCAAACGAGAGAATGGCACAGGAATATCTTTCTTCTCTTTTTTTTCGACTGCGAAAAAATTCCGGAAACTCTCCTTCAAATTTGACAACAAACAAACAAACAAAAACAAAAAAAAAGGACTGCGTCGCTATTCGCGACAATTTTTTTTTTAAGCATTCGTGGCAAATCGATAAACATTCCTTCCTTCCTTCCTTCCTGTCTTTCTCTCTCTCTCTCTCTCTTCTTATTTTTTTTCACGCAGAATTCTGGGGACAATGGGGGTTGGTTTATTTTGGGCGTGTGTGTGTGTGTGTGTGTGTATTGGGAGGGGGTGTATTTTTTGGCATCAAAAAAACGGGGGATCACGTAGGGGTGTGTGGCTGAGAGGCGTGGGCCTGCTGCTGCTGCTGCTGGAGGCGCTGGTGTTCGGCGGCCATGACGACCATCTCCTCATCCTCGTCTTCCTTGATGGGGATGGTGGCGTGGTTGTACAAGCCCTCGGCCATCAGCTTCATGGCCAAGGCGTTTCGCTGGCCCGATGCCTTCTTCAGCTTCGCACGTTTATTCTGCATGAGAAGAGCGAGAAAAATTGGGGGGGGGGGAAGAAACGATGAGATTTCGGTTGATAAACAATAGCCAAATATCCCTCGAAGTTTTTTCTTTTCTTTTTCGAATAAAGGTGTAAATAAATAAAATGAGCAGGAAAAAGTTCAGAAAAAAACAACAAAACAAATAAGAGAGCATCTTTTGATAATGATTGTATATTTTGGCTACAGTTACAATTGAAAGCAGCAAGGCCATTAGAATTTTCTCAAATTTTGACTTCACCTTAAACATTTTAGGTAAAATCTCTGTTTGCATTTCCATTTCGGGAGAAATGACGTACTGTCGTAAAATAGCATCAAGGCAAGATTTGCAATTTTAGGGAATATCGATTTTTTGTTGTTGTTGACCTGTGGTTTGTTCCTCAAGTCAAGTTGATTGCTTGGAGCAAAATGGCGTCCGAATCTGGGTTTATTATGTGAGTTTTTTTGCTCCTTAAGGCGGTTATTGCCTAGGAGCCCATTGTATTCTCTCTTGAATATATAGCTACTGTATTTAAATTAACGAGCCACAGGTAGTATGATGAAATTTTTCAGCTTCATGTACAATTTTAAATTACTCAGAAATGCATTTATTCTTGCTATTCAAATACCTTTCTTGCTTGTGAAGAATCCGTTTTTGCTAGTTTATTTTTATGAAGAACAAGCACATACTAGAATTTGAATCTTAGTCTTTAGAGGAAATTTATTTTATTGGTTTTTTATTGGTTTTAAGATTGAAAGAAAAACTGCAAATCTCATCTACAACAAACAATTTTTTTAAAGAAAATATTTTAAACCTTGGATGGCAGAGGGTTCTTCTTCATTGCATGGCAGAGTTGGGATTTTTTTGGGGGTGTCACATTTCAGTTTGACCCAAGGTCACTGAAATGCTCCTAGGCTCAGAAGACCTAAGTTGAGAGAAATCAGGGAAGCAAATTTTCTATTGTTTTCAGGATTCTCCCATGCAAATCCTATGTCAGGAAGGCTAGGGAAAATTCCTCCCAGTGAGGGATTGTTTCTTTTATTCAAAATTTTCTGCAGGATTAGAAAAAGATATCTGACTTTCCTGACTTTGGCGTTGGTACAAAACTAGGATTTTCAAATTTCCTGTGCGCAGTGGAACAAAATTTTGCAAAAGTATTCCAATTTTGCACACAGTAAGCATTAACATTCATTGAATCCAGGATCAATCCATGTCTAAATATAATTTTGGGTGCTTTTACTTTTCTAAATAATTTAATATTAAAGTTGCTAAAAATGGGGTCTGCATCAACCTCAAGTTGGGGAAAGAAATTGTATACCAAATTTTGACTGAAAATCCCTAGTGTGCATCTCAAATCTAGGGCATGTGCTTGAGCTCAAGAGTAAATACAATACCATTAACCCTTGGACAGCAGAGGGTTCTTTCCCGTTGCAGGACAGAGTTGGATTATTTTTGTATCCTCCCACATTTTCAGATTTTTGAAGGTCAGGAAAACCCTTCCAGGTGGGCTGAGGCAAAGTTGGGATAAATCCAAAAAAAAAAGCGGGTAGCGTAACTGAGCATTTTATTTTTATTTTTGGCAAAGAGTTTCTGTGCTCAAGGAAAAAAACATTGAGATTTATCCCAACTTTGCCCTCAATCCCCTGTTGACATTTTTTTTCTTCACCTCTCTATGTGATGCAAAAAAAATTTGCAAAAATAATCCAACTTTGCCACCAAAGTGTTAATTGTATTATAAGACACACAGTAGTACATTCATACAGGGTTTTCATTAATTTCAAGCATGAAACAGGTCGGAATAAATGGCTGACCTGGAACCAGATTTTGATCTGGGCCTCATTGAGCCGCAGCTCGCGCGAGAGTTCCTGACGTCTGGCCTCTGTCAGGTACTTGTTGTCTTGGAACTCCTTTTTGAGCCGCGCCAGTTGCTCAGCAGTGAAGGCTGTTCGCGGCCGCTTTTCCGACTCCTTCTTGGGCCGCACTTTCCGCACCCGTGGCCCTGAAACACACACACATACACACGGAGAGTTAGAAAACAACTTTATTTCTGTCCATTCTTTTTCATGATTTTTGTGTGTTAATTCAATTACAGGATACCCTTTCTAAGTCGAATTTCTAGGGACCAGGAAAAAAAATCAACTTAGCCCTTGGGCGGCAGAGGGTTCTTTCCCATAGCAGGACAATAATCAGATTATTTTAGTATGTTCCCTCATTTTAAGTTTTTAGAAGGTCAGGAAAACCCTTCCAGGTGGGCTGAGGCAAAGTCGGGATTAATCCTAGAAAAGCCGGTAGCATCCCTGAGCATTTTTTTAATTTTCCGGAAAAATTTTTCTGCCCCCAGGGAAAAAAACGTCGGGATTTTTCCCGACTTTGCCCTTCATCACCTGTATTCATTTTTTTCTTGACCTCTCTGAGGTGCAACAAAATTTTGCAAAAATACTCCAACTTTGCCGCCCAAGGGTTAGGGAGGTTTCAACTTTAGGGAGGTTTTCATTTTTTGAGGAAAGGAAAGAAATAGTTTTGCTGCAAGGGAAATGGGAATGTAGATGAGGACATTCCAGGACTAAACTTGCTTTTTGATGAGTTTACAGCTTGCTGAACTTGTGGGCAGGGCTTCATTTGTTCAATTAGTCCTTCACTTGATTTCAAAATGCATAAAATAATTTGTTTTGTTGATTTTCTCAATCATATTTCAATGGAATAATGACCAAAAGGCCTCAGAAAATGTGACTTACAGAGGTTTGAGAGAAAACTACTTTGAGTTAGGGAGTTTTTAATACATTGTTTCTATGGGAATCCAGGCAGGGACTTTTAAAAAAACTTGAGTTAGGGATGAGGTATTTGACTTAGGGAGGTTCCACTTGGCAAGGTTCACCTGTACATGCCCAGGAATAAATTGGAGGAAGGTTTTTGGTCATGGGGAGTACAGGTATAGCAAAGGCTGTCTGAAAGCTTGGAAAAAGATTGAGACATGCCTTCATTGATTGCAGCTGAGCCTCTCAAAGTTGAAGTTCATGAGACCAGCAAAAAATTTTGTCTTACAGAGGTTTCAAGTAAGGGAAACAAGCATTTTTTTCTTGTGGGAAAAAGAGATAAATTGAAAGAAATTATTAATGGTGATATTCTTTGATGTGCATTGTTTATTAAATGAGTAACACAGCAATGGTGAGCTTGGAGGTCAGGGCTTATTTACCCAATTAATATATCAAAACAGTCAGGTTGCTTTTTTATTGCATTTTCCTTTCCTGTGTCCAGAAAATAATAGTCAAAACGCCTAAGAAAATTCCAGTTGTGGAGATTTATGAGGAAAAACCTGCAAGTTGGGATGCTTTTAATGCATTGTGTTTAAGAGAATTCAGTTGGGTACACAAAAATTTGACTTCAGGAGGTTTGAGTTATTGGGGTACGTTGAACTGCATTTAAAAAGAAAATATCAAGTTCAATCAGCTGGCTTGAAACTAGTAGAAATCGGATACATACCCCAAAAATAAACTACTTCATCATGGTTGTTCTTGCATGCCTTACTTATTTCTTTTCGACAAATTTATTGAATTATTTTTCAAACCATGGAATACATTTGAGAAAGGTTTTGGTTCAAAGAAAATGTGTAGCAAGTTTGGAAAAAATTAGACACCTTTGTTAATTATTAAAAAAAGAGCAAGTTCAATTGCTTTGAAAGTTCAATCAGTTGATTTGGAAGTTTCTAGTAGAAATGCAACACATGCGCAAGAAAAAAGCATTAACTCCATTTTGGCCATTCTCACTCTTTCTTCAATTTAAATGGAGTTATTTTGCATGCTCTGGAATGAATTTGACATTCAATTTGGCATGAATTAGAGTTATCTTTCAATAAGACTTCCCTTTCTGTAAGTATGGAGAAAGATTGAGAAACCCGCGCTTATAAATGAAAAAAGAAAATAGAAGGAAGTTCAATTAGTTGGTTTGGGATTTCTAATGCAAATTAATTGCATATGCAAGAAAGTAACGGCTTTCACCTCCATCATTCTTAACCTTTTTTATTTTATCGATTTTTTGCAGTGAGGAAAATTGGAAAGAAGTTTTTTTTACGCGGTGTGTCGCAACCGCGAGAAATTTAATGAAATAATTAGAAGATCTCGCGGGTATAATTGGAAAAAGAAAATTAGATGAACTTCAATTAGCCGGTTTATAATTTTCATTACAAATGAATTACGCTCCAAGAAGTTTCGTCTCATTATTATAAATATGCCATGCACTGAAAAAAAATTGGAGAGATGTTCTCGCTTGTACTCGGAAAAATTGGCTGCCTAAAAATTTGGGAAACGCTTGATAAGTCCGAAATTACAATTTTATAATCCGACGAGGCGGTGGAATAATTATTTTATGAATTGAACATAACAAATGAAATGTAAACGCGAGAAGGACTAATCTCAATTTTCGATTCGATTGATTGATACAGTTAGTTTTCCATGCCTTGAAAGAAATTGGAAAGAGGTTGTTGAACTCTGGTAGCCGCGAGTCTGCTTGAGAGTGCAGGAAAAAAAGCCTGGTTTATAATTTTTGAATAGCATGAATTTCTATTAGTTGGTGTAAAATTCCTAACAGAACATGAGCAAAATATATAAACTTGATTTCCATCAATCGCACTATTTTCTTTTAATTTTCTTCAAACGTATAGGAGAATAATTGTTTCAACTCGCGAGTCTCAGAACAGAAGCCCATGATTAATTAATCAAAGAGGAAACAGGCGGAAGTTTAGTGTATATTCGTGAATTTGTGTTGCAGAAAAAATGACAACTTCATTTCTTGCACTTATTTTTATTGCGATTATTATTTTTTTTTTGCACCGAATAAAAGAAAGAAATAAGAGAACAATGTCGGGTTATCCCTATTCCGCGTGAAAGCTTGATTGAAAATTGATCCGAGCGAAATTGAATTAACTAAGCATAAAGAAAACTACTTGTTTTCCTCAATTTTTCTTCTAATTAAAAGTGTTTCCATTATAGTTTTTCGGGTCAAAAGAAATAAATGGATCGCGAGGCAGCCCAAAGTTCGGAAAAATCAAATCAATGAATTCATTCCAAATTTCTGGAAGATAAAAAAAATTCAACAGAAAATTATCACGAAGCCCCGGTTCACCAAAAAAAAGAATGGTGAATTTTTGTCGAATTTCAAATTCAAAGAAAATCCTCATACGAACATGGATTTTTTTTTTCAATCTGTATAAACTCGAAATTCCTCAACATCAATTTTTGAGAGGACAACGTCACTCATTATTGAGAATGGTTAATGACGCCTGGCAGAAATGATGGAGGCTTTTTTTTTTTATTGGCCAGGTGTGTTTTGAGGGTTTCATGAATTATGTAAAGTACTTGGTTTGACATCTGTTTGCAACCCATCAGTTTAAAAGAAAAACCCCGTTATCTCCTTTCTTCCATCGTTTTCCCTCAATCAATTAATATTTTCTCGGCGCTCTGTAAATGGATTAAAGAGGCTGTTTTAATCGGCCATTCGCGACGAGGACGGCCAAAAGATCTGTCCAAAATTTATCATATCTGCTCTATTTCCTCCGTTCAAAGTCAAATAATCTGAGACTCACTTGATCAAACGGCGCCGATAAATTGCAATTTTTAAAATCGATATTCTGTTTTGCAGTACAGTACTCCGAAAAAACAGCGTTCAAATAATCGATCGAGCTTCTGATTTCATTCGTCAGTTCATTAAATAAATAAATAAATAAATACAGCTGCTGAGTGGATGTAAAATACTCATATTCAGGAATCCTGTCGGGACAATCAAAATATCCCCGTCAGCAGCCCGAAAGTCACAATAACACACTTCTCCCCATCGTTTCCTCTATTATTTGAATCTCGGTCTCATGTTTATATACACACACGTGCGATCAGATATTCAAAACACGCCCCGAAGCCATGGAGGAAAAAAAAAAGATTCCAATTTCAATCTTATAAAAACAAACCAAAAAATCAGAAAGAAAAAGGTCATTTCGAGACGGAAGCGAGCATCAAAAAGGAGAACGAGGAGGAAATGATTTTCAAAACAAATAAAAAATACTGTTTATAAATTCTGGCCCGATCGGAATCGCAGTGTCGGTCGCAGTGACACAAGTTGTCCATTACCGACAGTGAGGGGGACCTTTCTATATAATGTCGTCGATGTGGTTGTTGGGCCAACAGGAAAAAAGATGGGAAGGAATCAAGACTGATGTCGGTGACTTGTACTCGACTGACGGGACGCTTTATGCATTTTGAGGGACGGTGGGAAATTGAATTATTATATTTACTTTATATATATATATATATTTTTTTTTTATAGTCCACGACCTTGTTTTGAAATTCTGGCGTATATTCGGAACGTGCTGCGTTTACATCAAAGGCCGCATGTAATTGAATTACGGTGTCTCTCATTTGCCGGAAATAAGTGACTCACAAGAAATTTTGCCACAAATTGGGTTTTTAAAAATAACCCACAATTCACCTGGAACCGCGGCAGAGGATTTTCTTTTGTGTGATAAAAATTCATGGAAAATGAAATTTGCATTGATGAAAATTTAAGCTCAGATTAAGGAAAAATTCACAATGAAAACAAATACAATCCGTGAACTGGGTAAAATCGCAGGTCTAGTATTTACAGCCGCATCCAACTTATGCAAAATCTCAAGAGGAATTTGCTCAGTGCCTGGGTTTGCCTTTGAACTATATGAACTTGGTGGAAGTACGCATGGGATTTCAAACTTATATACTCCCTGTTTGAATAAAAAAGGAAATCAATTTATTGTAATTTGATTTCCACGTTTGTCCATTCGAAATACAGTTGGACCTTGTCAAGTTATTAAACCTTTGCATTCAAAAACCTCCCTATAGTTAGAATTTTCAAGGAATTCCATCACAATCTGCTTCACACTCATTCGATTTAAACCCCCCTGGACTCGAAACTTTTTGGGTCAAATTTCTCCTATGGTCAAATTTGTCCACGTTTTTGTTACAAATTTCGATCGCCTGGGCCAAAACTAAACACAAAAATATATGCAAATAGTTTGTTCATGTTTTCCGCAAGAGATTAGGAATCGTCCTGCAGGTACGAAATATCTATGAATAATCAATAATTCTGATAATTTGGTCAATAAATAATTTCCCATGATCAACCCACCCCAAATGAAGCCAAAATTTGCAGCTCAAAATCTATCTGAGTCAAAATTAGTGGAGTCTTTTTAAATTCAATTTCGACATGTTCAACTGTTTTTTTTAATATTTTTATTTATGGACGCATATCGGAAAACAATTTGGCACATTCCAGGATGATGAGAAATCACTTGCTTTTCGTACAATCGTATATACGGGAAAATACGTCCCATATAGAACGAGGAAATTATATGAACAGTTTAAAGGGTCAGGTTC